CTGCGTCCACTCTGAGTGGTGGCCTGCTGTGAGGCTGCCCACGTGGTCTCTGCTGCCTGGGGATGCTGGGGATGCTCCCACACAGCCTGGAAGCTACTCTGTAGTCATGGCCCGCCCGCCCCAAGTTGTGATGGTGAAGAACTTTGGGGAGGAAGGGGGAGCAGCAGCGTGTTGGGGTGGGGGGTGAAGCAGCCCGTGTGGTGAGTGGGGTGAGGGAGCAGATGTCCCACGGCTGAGGGCTGGGGGTGGCGGGCAGGGACCCGGCCCATCAATGACTGGGTTTCACAGCATCAGCATTCCCAACATGCCGCGGGAATTCCTGCCGCCCTCTCCCACCCCACAGATGGCCCCTGCTGTCCCCACCCTCAGCAGAGGCCAGGGCCTGGTACAAAAGAGCCCTGTTCCCTCAGGGTCAGGGTGCCTCATCCTGGGGGGCTTCTAGAGGTAGGTGGGATGAAAGGAGAGTCGGGTGGTCCTGGCTGGGCTCGGAGCAGGGCCAGGAAGGACCCTGGGGTTGGGAGTTTGTGAGTCACTGGCACCCGGCTGCTCTGTGGGTCGCCCCAGGGTCAAAGCCATGGTTTCAAGTGGCTGCCTTGCCTGGCCTTCACCGCCCTCTTCCCACGGACACGGACGCATGCACAGTCAGACACATGCAAATACCGGTCTGAAATGTGACAGATCTAGACCCAACCAGAAGGAACAGGCTCACACAACAGCGACACAGGCACATACCCGGGCAGGGCAGCGAGCCCCCTGCACCCACAGACTGCCCCCCACACACAGTCCGGAGGCACCCCCCCACTGCCCTGCCTCCCACCCCCACACCGCGGGGATGACGTGGGCACGCCGGCAGACACGTGCTCACAAAGACGCACAGACCCGCACACACACACACACCAAGGGGGTGGCCGAGGACAGACCCACCCGGATGCAGGCGATGGACACACTGTGACAGGAAAGGATGGGGCCCCCCAGGAGGGCCGGTTACAGGGTCTGGGCACACCTGGGATGCAAGCGGGAAAACCACCTGTTTGTAATGGGGGCAAAGACTGGTTCTTGTCTTAGCTGTTAGGGTGAGCTGTGACTCTCTGAAGGCCCACAGTTCATAAACACATACACTGTACGTCTGTGGTCGTAAAATTTCACGGTGGGATGGGATTAGGAAAGAGAGCTCTAAAATTGTGCCCTAGTGGAATATAATGAAAACAAGGCCGAGGAACGCTGATGTAGATGGAGGCTCACCCAGGGGTGGTGCGTGCGTGCACACGTGTGCGCGCACACACACATACACAGACACACACACACACCTGTCATGCGCCCCGTTGCTAACACAGCCTCACTCACAGCTCTCAGCCCCCACAGCTCTCTGCCCCTGCCCCCTCACAGATGGCAGGATCCCTACCCATCCCTCTGCTCCTCTTCCAGCCCCAGACCACCGTCTCCCCAAGTCTGCCCCAAATTCAGGAGCCCCAGGGCAGCTGTTCCTGCAGACCCCAGGGATGCTGAGAAGACCCCTGCATTCTTCCTCTCTGTGGTTCCTTCCCTAAGCCCGGTCACTGTCCCTGCCACGGTCCCAGCCCATTCCTTGAGCTGTCCTGAGCAGCACCCTGCCCCATCCTAAACTATTGGCAGCTCCCGGTCCCCATCCATGGCCCAGAGCACCTTGCCTCGCACGTGCTTCTGGGCCCCCTTTGCCCCACCCTCTCAGCCCCGGTCCTCCACTCTCCACCCCGTCGCCAGCCCCTCTCGGCTGAGTACTCACTTGGATGTTCTTGCTTCTGTCCCTCTGCTCCACCAGCCCCGCTCACAGTCCCCTGGCCTCCCAGGGTCCAGGCCCCCACTTGCAAGCCTGTCCCCTCCCCCCGGGTGCCAGGGGCCGCCTGCCTCCAGGGCCCAGCTCCTCCCTGCCCCCGAGGGAGGGGGGCACAAAGGGGCCCTTGTCACCACTGCTGGAACTGGGCAGCCTGACGCCTGGGTTCTACTAGCTCCTTCCTGGAGGGGATGGGGGAAGGCAGCCTCACTTGCTCTCCCTCCTCCATCACTGTGCACCCTGGTCCTGGGTCCCTGGGAGGGTCTTCTAGTATCTCTGGAAGTCTCAGGCTAAGAAACAAAAGCTGGTTCTCAGTGTCTAGGGAATCTTGGTGGCCGGGACAGGTATGACCTCAGTCCAAAGAGGCCACCGAGGAGCTGAGCAGGAGAGAGGATCTGCCCACTCTTGGCTTCAGCGAATCCTCCACCCTCTCTTGAATCACGTCCCTGGACCACGTTTGGTGCCCACATCCTGGTCTCTTTTCCAGACTCTTCTTGCCATCAGAAATGACCTTATGCATTGATTGTCTCCTCTCATGAGAACATGATCTCCAAGAAGATAAGGGCTTCGCCAGCTAATTTCTAACCTGTTTGTAGAATGGCCCCTGGCAGCAGGCTAAGCTTCATAACCACAGGGTGGGCGCACACATTGTTCCTCAAATAGCCAGCGGCACCTTCTGACTGGCGACTTGTGCACTTGCTCCTTCCTCCTGGACAGGCCTCCCCACCCCATCCCGCACCCCACTCTGCCACGGGCCACAGCCCTGCACATCGATTAGGCTCTCAGCTCAGATGCCACTTCCTCGGGAGCCTGCCCTGCCGCTCTCACCACGCCAAGCCCCTCCGTTCAAATACTGCCCTCTCCTTCCACAGCCCTCTGTGCGTTTGCCGACCACACTCCAGAGGCCCTCCTTCCCCACTAGTATGGGAGCTCCCAGAGGGCTGGGTTTCTGCCTGTCTGTCTGCTTCACCCTCTGTCCCCTAGAACAGTGCCTGGTGCCCAGGAGGGCTTATGAAGCGTGATGCTTGACAGATTCCCCACTCTACAGTGATCCTCCCTCCCTCCAGCCCAACTGTTCCCCTCAGTCTTGACCTTTGCAAGGTGCTTGTGTGTGGGGTCGGTGGAGGGAGCCATGGTACTGTGATTAAGTGTAGTAATGGTTTGACCATGAGCTGCTCAGTCACATTGGGGTATCTTCTGTCCTTTAGGCCAGAGTGGTTTTTGGGGAGTTGGGGGGGGTCCTTTCTCCCAGGGGAGAACCCGGCCGGGGTGGGGAGGGTGAGGGGCAGGGAAATCCCTCAGACCCAAGTGTGCGGAGTCAGAGAAGGCTGGATGGAGGGGGAGGGGGAGTGCCACCCCCACCTCAGGCTTCATGATGTCAGACTCTGCCCGTGCCTTTCCCAGACAGAGACAAAGGCCCATTGAGAGTGGGGTGGGGCTTGAACGCCTGGGTCCTAGAGAAGAGAGGGCCCTGGTGCCTGGGCTTTGGAGGAGGCCACTGAGATCCTGGGGTACTCCTATGTCACAGCCTTCAACCTCAATGCCAACCCCCTTGGAGTCATGGGCCTGCAGAGTTTGGGGGTCCATCCCCTCTCTAGGTGTAAACCGTAGGCTGTCCCTGGGGGCAGGACACACAGGCCAGTATGGGGCAACTGTCACTGAAATCTGCAATCCCAGGTCCCCAGGCCCCAGGAGGATGGGGTACTGGAGGCCCTGTGCCTGGCCAAAGGGGGAGCCACTGCTCCGATCCAACCGAGCCTTCAAAACCAGGCAAGTGTGACAGGGTACCACAGACTGGGTGGCTTACAAAACAGAATTTATGGTCTCACGGTGCTGGAGGCCACAATCTGACATCGAGTTTGGCAGGGTTGGTCCTTCTGAGTGCTGGGGGTGGTGGAAGGATCTGTTCTAGGCTCCTCAGCTCAGCTTCTAGATGATGGTCTTCATGTTCACACAGTCTTCTCCCTGCAGACAGGCCTCTGAGTCCAAATCCCTGCTTTTTACAAGGACAGCAGTCCTCTTGGATCAGGGCCCAACCTACTGACCTCATTTAAACTTGACTATCTCTATAAAGACCCTACCTCTAAATCAGGTCACAATCGGAGGTACTGGGTGTTAGGGCCTCCACATTTAAATTTGGGAGGGTGGGGGACACACAGTTCAACTCATAACTCATGAGCAGCGACATGGCCCGATGAGCTGAACACTGAAGACTCTTCTAGTTCTTTGGGTGTGACAAGCCCGTCTCCCGGTCCCTCTCATGGTCTAACCCAGGCCTCCCCATTGATATTCCACACTGGGCCCAAATAGCCAAGGCCGTTTATCGCCTTGCTAGTGCTGACGTTTTCTTAGGCGCTAAGAAGACAGTGAAATGCATTGTCTCTGTTTCTGTCAAAAGTGGGGAAATGGGATACATTGATAGGGACATGGTTTCAAGAAGAACAGGAGGGAACTTAACCCCTTGGGGAGGTGAGCAGTCTTCTCCCACGTGTCTCGCAGGGCGGTATGTCCTTACTGAGCGGATGCCCCTTACCGTGGTCCTCTGAAACCCAGCCAGCACCCCTCATTCGGTCACTATGCCTGCCCGGAAAGCCAGTGGTTCTCAGACTTTTTGGTGTCAGGACCCCTTTCTACTATGCAAAATTATCGAGGACTCCCCCCAGAAATTTTGTTTACGTGGGTTCTATTTCTAGCTGCTCCACATCTTAGAAACTCTTAGAAATGGAGACCAGGATATTGGGAAAGCACAAGGCACACGGGCACATAGCCTGTTCCTGTCAGAGGGATGAGGTGGATCCCACGTCACAGAGCCTGTTGACCTGCGACAGGAGTGAGAAAGGCACATGACATTCTAGTTGTTTCCACCTGGTGGAGCCCTGCTGGGGGTTCCCTGGACCTTACTTTGAGAACCCTTGTGAGGACACTGAATTTGCCACCCTTGTTTCAAGAAGGCTTTAGGGAGAGGACACCTGGTTTAACTTCTAGCCCCTGCTGTTGCGACATCGGTTTTAGGTCTTCTGAAGAGGGGAAGGAAGGGAAGCGCAGGAAACAGATCTCCTTCGCCAAACCTCAGTGCCGACCCCGGTACCCACCAACCCCGCACACCTGGACCAGACAGGGACCAGAAGAAGCCTCTGGCATAGGCTTCAGGCAGGAAGAAAAGACAACAGACACTCTAGTGTGGAAAACAACAGACAGAACCATTTTATTCCAAGTCTGGTCACAGAGGGTTGGAGGGCAAGGCAGATAAATACGAGGGTCGGGGAGGATAGGGGGGCAGGCCGGGGAGGCTCTATGTCTTGCAGCAAAACCCACACTTTGATGGCTTACAGCAGTTGCAGCAGAACAGGCAGATGGGGAAGTGGGAGTCTCGTCTCAGCCTCAGGAGCGTGGGCTATGGGGAAGAAGGGAGAGTGAGCAGACCTGGGGCCCAGGCAAGGGCTGGGGAGGCCTGGAAGGGCCGCTGCAGGTACTCTTACCGTCAAGCCAGGCTCGGCTTCGGCTGTGTCCTGGGCTTGCAGGGCTGTAAGCTGTCTTGTCTGCGGGAGCAGAAGGGGTGGTGAGGATGGCCAGGGCCCAGCGGAACTCTCAGACTTGTCCCTACACACCAGCTCCTCCCCGAGGGTCAGTGTCCTGGGGCTCTGTGGGTATCCTAGGAGCTGCCCCGCCGTCCGGCCTTCTCTCTCCCTTGCTCACACAGCTCTTCCCATAGACACCCCAGATCTGTCTCCTCTCTCCACAGCTACTCTCCTTGGGAACGTTGCCCTCCCTGGCTTGCTGCCACCCCCACCTGGAACAAGGCTTCCTGGGTCTTGCCCCATACATGTGTTCCCCGTGCCTTATCAGTCGGCTTAAAAGCCTGGGGGGCTCCCCTTGCACGTGGAGCAAAGTCAGTATTTCCACAGTTGTCCACAAGACTCGGCACGTCCCCTCCTCCATCTCCTCTCCAAGTACCGTCCCCTTCACTCATGACACCTTCTGATCCTTGGGGATGTTCACCACACTTGCCCTCTCCCAGGCCTTTGCTTGCTGTCCCTTTCTCTTTTCCTCCCAGTCCTAGGTCAAATTTCTTTTTCTCACCAAATACTCCCGCTTCGCCGCCAGCCCTTCATCCCGTCTGAAGTCCTCCCCTGACCCCTCCTGGTCCCTCTAGTATCATCATCATTTTCCGTTATCCGTGGAGAGCATTTACCAAGACACAATGATCTCATTTATGTTTTGATGGTTCAGGGAGTAATTCCCTGACTGGGATGTAAGCTCCGCAAGAGGAAAACTCTACCTTGTTCGCGGGGCACTCCCCACTGTCCAGAATTGGGCTTAGCAAGGAGCAGGCACGCCACCCGCTGTGGAATTCATCTGGGGCCTCCAGTCCCTGATACTCAGGACCCCCGCTCTGTACTTTGGGCAGCTCCCCATCCCCCCTTGCCCTGCCGTGAGCTCTGCCCCATGCTGAGGGATCTCCAGCTGCCCTCAGCACTGCCCCCCGCAAGGGCCTGGCTCTCCAGTGGTCTCGGTCGCTGAGCTGGACCCAGGCCCTGCAGACTCACCTGGTGCGGAAGAACCGAGCCACTGGCCAGACTGGCCAGGAGGAGGAACAGGAGGCCGGCAGCCTGGATCCGCGGGCTCAGTACCATCATGCCGTCTTGTCTGGCTGTTCGGCTGTCCTGCTGTTAGGTTCAGGACCGGCTGTGGTGTCTGGTCCCCCGTTTCAGTGGCTTTTATGGGTGCTTCTGGAGGAGGCGGGGGTGGTAAGCCCCCCCCGCCCCTTTTGTCCTAACTCATTTCCAAGAAGGTGGTGGCGCCGACAAGACGGGAGATAAGCGGGAACAGAGTGACAGGGAACAGTGTTATGTCACCCTTAGCAGAGGTGTGTCTGGGGGTGGGGCAGACGGGCCACCTGGGAAACACTTTCCCTGACAGGGCATCACCCGGTTGACCTCAGAAAAAGAATTTCCCCCTTTGACCCAGAAGTTGAACAGGTCGATGAGCAGGAGTGAAGTGACCTCCTATTCCCCACCCTTTCTCGATGTCCTCATCCGCTGGGAGGCTGGCCGTCACTTACAGGCCACCCTGGGGGTGCCCAGTGTAATTCCTACTGCTTCAGGCTCCCCTCTCACAGGGCGCAGATCCCAGGAGGAAACACTGGGCAGCCAGACGCACGAGTTTATGTCGGCACAAGCCCCCAGCGTGCGGGTGATTTTCTGAATATCAGAATTTCTTTTGGAACTTCTGCCTATAGGAGCTGGAAGTATTCGTTAGTTGCTAACACTGGACGCCACCTCTTTTATGCCAGATGTACTGACCCACGTCCGACGCACCTGTCCTCCAAGCAGCTCCTGCCAGCCCTGTGCTGGGCTCTGCTCTGCATTCAGGGACCCCCGCTGCCTCCTTTGCCACTAATCCCCCGAGGCCTGGCTGCCCAGACCCTGCTCCCTCTTAGCACAGCGCCCACACGGTCATCTTCGCTTTCTAGGAGCTGCAGGAAGAGACTGGGGCACTGCTCAAGCTCCCCTGGTCGGAGGCCAGGGCTAGGGTTAGAGCTAGGCTAGAGCTAGGGTTCCAGCCTGAGCTGCCTGACTCGGGGGCCTGTGTTCTCACCATTTGGCTCTCCTGTCTCCCCTCAAGCACAGGAGGGCACAGGGGAGTGTGCTAGACTGGGCCCACCCTGGCGCTGGGAATCCAGCAGTGGTGGGAGTATTTCAACCCTAGACATCGGCTGACTCTACAAACCTGGGCCTTTTTTCTTGAGAGCTGGTTCTCCAGCATGTCACCGAAGGAGAGACGAGGCACGTGGCCTGACCTGGCAACCTCACTCCCACAAACTCTGAGCCGTCTCTGGGTGCATGTAGTCCAGGGAACCACAGCCCTGATTGAAAGGCAGGCCTCTGGCCAGCGGCCTCCCTGACTCACTTGGGGACCACCCAGGCAGGGTCAGCTCCAGCCTAAGGGCCTGTGGGCGATGCTGCCAAGGAACGAACACTCCTCCCGGCCCTGACCTGTTTGCCAAGGCACACTTGAAACCACAGAAGTCGGGGGAGTGGGGTCTGGGAAGTGCAGGCCGCCCCCTGCGCCAAACATCTTCGCTCTAACGGCCTCAGTCAGAGGGGTAAAGGGAGACAGGGCCCGTCAGGGGCCAGACCAGTTGGGAGCATCTGGGATGAGGAGCAGGTGGAGAGGTGGGCCAGGTGAGCAGGAGGACCGGCCTCTGTCCTGGGGGTTGCACGGGGCCGCGCTGCACACTCAGCCCCGGGGAGACGCAGCGGCATCCCCCAGCAGCCCCAGGCAGCACAGCATCGCAGCTGAGGCCAGGTTTCATCACTAGCCGGGGCAGGGGTCACAGTGCAGGCGCCAGAGCCACGGGGTGAGGCGACAGGCTGCCGGGCCAAGCCCAGCTTCCTGGCCATCTGCCCTTCCTGGGGGTGGGGGGCTCAAGGCCAGGCTCCACCATTGGCTGGTACAGAGGGGAGGGCTTCAACCCTTACGGGCAGGGTCAGAAGCCAGTGCTGTTTTTAGTAACAGATGACAGGAGAGACCCCAGCCTCTCCTCTGAAAACATGAGACACGTCCTTGACCCTAGTGCCCCACGCCCCCACACCACATATGCGCACCTGGAGCCTCAAAGGGGATAGTCCTTAATTTCTCCACCCATCTGACCCACGGACAGACCGGGGTCCACAGTCACACACACCGAGGCCATGCTCCCAGAGTTGCCCTCGCAGAGCTCTGCCTGGACGGTGGGCTCCCTCCCCACACCCAAGATGGACAGAGACACAGACAGACAAGGCGGGGCCACATGGGGCCAGTTTATTGCAGTTAAATACCTCTCTCTCTCTCTATTTTTTTTTTTGTCCACTTTTCCATAAAGAAAATTAAAACACACACACACACTCAAAGAGGAGCAGGGATCCAGAAACAAGAGGTGGGGTGGGACATGGCCTCCCTGCGTAGGTCCAGGCCCCGGGGATGGCCCCCTAAAGACTCCTCTCCTTCCCTAAAGCACCCTGTCTCAGTACCTCTAGAGACACAAGGAGGCAGCGGGATATGGCAGGGTCTCTGTCCTCTTCCCTCATGCCTCCAGGCAAGACCACTAGAAGTGCTGGGGCTTCATGGGGGCCGGAGAAGGGAGACAGACAGAAGGGGGAGGGAGGATATCGTTTCCCAAGTTGAGGAGAGCAGTGGGTGCTTATCCACAGAAATGCATTATTTCTCCCCGTTTTGTTAAAAATCTACTATAAAAAAACGCAGCTGGGGGAGGGGCGTCTGTCCCTCTCTGTGCTAAGGGCTGGGGAAGGGGCGGCAGTGGCCGGAGGGGCCCCCGCCGCGCAGTGGTGTGGGCGTCACTGCCGCGCGCTCTCGCCCACCATCTCCAGGTTGTGCTGCTGCAGCTGGGCACGGAGCACGGCATTCTCATTCTTCAGCTCCTCGATCTGGCACACATAACACGACAGGGGGACCCGCCAGGGGACGAAGAGCCAGGGGCTGGCTCCCCGCACCTGGGCTGGCTCCGCCCCGGCCTCGCCCATCGCGCCCCTCACCTGCTGCCTCAGGAGCTCATTGTCCATCTGCAGCCGCTCGGCCTCCTTAAAGGTCTCCTGCATGCGCTGGTTGGTCTGGCGCAGCTCCCGGATGTAGTCGCAGGCCTTTGACAGGATCCCTCCTTTACTCTGGGGGGTGGGCAAGGGCGCCAGTGAGCGCCACCCGCCAGCTGGCCCTGGATGGTGCCTGCCCAAGCCCAGGGGCCAGGCCCGGCTGATGTTCTCGAAGGGGCAGGGCCCCGGCCCAGGCGGTATGGGGGTCTGGAGGGCCAGGGTGGGAGCGGGGGGGGGGGGGGGCACCTACCGCTCCCGTCTTGCTGTTGTCTGCGTTACAGTCTGGAATGATTTTGGAAAGTTGGACGATCCAGTTGTTGATCTTGTCCCTCCGCCTCCGCTCCACTGCAAGAGGTAAGAGGAGCGTCGGCGGCGGTGCTCCCGGAACCTTCCTGCGTGCCAGGCGCTCTCCCACCATCGCGGACGGGGACAGCCCAGCAGCGCCCAGACGCAGGCACCTGCGCCCCACGTCCTGCTGCTTCTCGAGAGGAACAAGGTCTGGCCTCAAGGGCCACGCACACACCTTTAGGGCAGAATCAACAGCTGGGGACGGCAGGTTCATTTTGTTGACCAGCCTGGCATATTTTAAAAATCGGAGCCAACATTTAAATTAATGTTACGTGAAATTAAATTTCACGTAGTAATTGGCATCTTCTGAAAAATGGGGAGTTGTGGCTTGTGTTCTTGGGAGGCGGGAACAAGCCAGCGCCCCTTTCCACAGGACCCCGGCGCCTCCATCTGCTCCCCCCACAGCCGCTGCCTTCCATTTTTCAGTGCTCAGGCCTTCCTTTGGGCTCCCCAAGGTTGTTTTTCCTTTATCTTTAAAATCACAGTCTGACCATGTCTCTCCCCTAGCTAAAATCCCTCTCCAGAGCCCGGGCAGTGAGTCCCAGGCTGCCCAGGCTGGCACTTGTGGCTCTCGGGGGCCTGGCCCCACCAGGCACTGAGTCCCCCAAAAGCAATGTGAATTCTACCTCGAAGGCCAGAGCTGACAGGCCAATGGAAGACGACTTCTGAAAAATCCAGACTTGTGATTTAATTCTCTAACACTCAGCAATCTCACCCAAACTCTGTCAGCTGACCTGAGTGGCAGGTACCCCATCCAGATGGGGCACGTGCCTTCCCTCCGCTTCTCATCGGGCTCATGTCACAGCCTTACGAGACAGCTGCTCGGGGTCTGCCCTCACTGGCGCCTCACACCAGGGTTCAGGGCCCACAGAAGCAAAGCTGGGCTAGAATCTTCCTCACCTTCCAAGCACAATCCTAGGCGCTGGTGTGGACACACCCAAGAAGGCCCAGACACCTTCCCCAACCATCACACGCCCTCCTCCTCCCTCCTGCCAGGACAGCTCACAGACAGATGCCGCCTATAGGTGGGATGTGCAAAGCGGGGCAAAGGAGTATCTTCTCGGGGCTGGGCAGTGCTGGTGGGGGTTGCCAGAAGGGGTCTGGGCGAGAGTGAAAAAGAAGGGTGGGCCAGAATCACACCCCTCACTCACTCCTCATGGGCTCTGAGGCTGGTCCCTGCTGTTGACCCCCCTGTTCTCACAAAACATGCCTGGCTGCTCATCGGCTAATCCCATGCTGGCTGCTGGCGCTTGGCTCTGCCTGCCCATCTCAAGTCCCCTCCCAAGTCCAGGTACCCCTTGCTCCGGCTTGGATTATGACACCCTCCTCCAGGGAGGGACTCTCCTCCTCCCTGGTCCCTCTTCCTCCCGTGCTCTCCAGGACTCCACTTCAGCCACCGGTCGCCCTGGGGTGAGTATGCAATGCCCGGGTCCCATCACTGCTGGGGAGAGTTGCAGCTCCCCACGGAGGATGGCCACGTCCTACAGCCTGGGAACTCTGCGGCTAAATACCTCAGTGGAACTGAGAGTCTGCCCGGGCCTGGCGGCGCTGGCCACCCCATCCCCGAATAGAGCAGTGTGCTCTATGTCCAGGGTTCAGCAGAGGAGCGCAACAGCGGACGGCCTCTCGGCTTCCTGCTCTCCCCTCATGCGATCTGGCATTCTCAAGCCCGGGCGCCGGGCTTCCCACCTTGGATTCCTCCCTTCCAGCCAGCAGAAGGCAGGGTGTGTGGGTGGGGGGCAGGCACATCTTCTCCAGTTTGCATTCACTTTAAACTTACTGCCTGCCCGGGGCACCTGGGAAGCTCAGCATCTGACTCATGGTTTCGGCTCAGGTCACAATATCAAAGGGTTGTGGGATTGAGCCCCAGGTTGCGCTTGTACTCAGCAGGGTGTCTGCTTGAGATTCTCTCCCTCTGCACCCCCAAATAAATAAAAACAAACAAACAAACAAAAAAAACCCCAAACCAAAAAACCTTTCTGCCTGCCCGACTGTGTGCAGGGGGGCACCCTGCAAGCCCGGAGTCTGCGGCGGACTCTGGGTCCACCCCGTTGGTGCTTGCGGCACCCCATGCGATGCGCGTGAACAGGGGACACAGATACCGCTGGCGTGTTAAGACTGAAGGTTGCACCATGTGCCTGGGGGCATGCCAGGGTGAGCCAATGCTTTCTGCATGGCGCTGGGGCGTGGTGGGCCTTCAGAGAAAGACTTGGAGAGGGAACATGTGGGCTGGTTCTGAAGGGAGGGGCATCAGGCAGACAGGCGTGGAACATGCAGAAATGTCTGGATATACTCTGGGGGGGGGGCAGCTGGGGGTGGGAAAGGCCAGGCTGTAAAGGCCTCGAATGCCCTGCTGATGGGCCCAGGCCCTTTCACCGAGCAGGTAGTGCGGTGGGCAGGCCTGTGGCTAGGGAAGACCATCCTGGCACATTTGAAACAAGATGATCCGTCAAGACCAAGGCCACGTCTATTCCAGAGACAAGCTTCAGTTACACCCATAGGATACTGAAAACTAGCCAGAAATGAAATCTTCCAGGAGAGGGGAGACACGGACAAACTCACAGACATGCTTAGAGATGTAATGTTCCTCTCTCAGTAACGGAGAGAACAAGCAGACAAAAAAGTCAGGATAGAAAACCTGACAAATGGGGCGCCTGGGCGGCTCAGTGGGTTAAGCCTCTGCCTTCAGCTCAGGTCATGATGCCGGGGTCCTGGGATCGAGCCCCACATCGGGCTTTCTGCTCAGCAGGGAGCCTGGTTCCCCCTCTCTCTCTGCCTGCCTCTCTGCCTACTTGTCATCTCTCTCTCTCTCTCTCTCCGTCAAATAAATAAAATCTTAAAAAAAAAAAAAAAGAAAGAAAGAAAAAGAAAATCTGACAAGCGTCAACCAACTTGAGCTGGCCGACCCCGAGGGAACACTCCACACTGTGGTAGAGACACACATTCTCTCCAAGCACACATGGAAGCTTTCACAACACAGACCATATTCAGGGCCATAAAATGAGTCTCAACAAATCTCAAAGGACTGACATTATATACTAGGAGTGCGTTTCTGATCAAAACAGAACTAAATTAAAAATCAGTGACGAGAAAATATCCCGAAAAGCCACAGACATTCCGAAATTAAGCAATGTACTTCTAAATAACCCAGGGGTCAAAGAAGAAATCATTAGGAAAATTGGAAAGTATTTTAAACTGAATGATAATGAAAACCAATATATCCGAAGGGATTCGGCTGAAGCAGCACTGGAGTGAAATTTGCAACTAGAAAGGCTTGTGTTGGGAAAAAAGAAAGGTTTAAATCATCTTGAAAGGCTAGGGAAAAAACTCCAAGCTAATTAAGCCCAAAGTAAGTAGATGGAACGAATTAGCAACATTGAGAGGAGAAACTAATGAAATAGAAAAAGCAATCCCACACGGCATTTGAAAATCAGATTTCACATAAAGATCTGGACTTCTGGCTCCTCAGAGGTCCCTGGTGACAGTGGGCCCAAATTCTGACCCGGCTGCAATGGGCTGGCCCCACAGGCTCCAGTTCCCCACAGGGCTTGGAGATGGGCTCCGACGGTCCCAACAGTGGCAAAGAGGGGGAAAAGGAAGAAGAGAAGCCGATTTGAGGTCTACTTCAGCACAGAATCTTGGGATTTGTAGACGTGGGGGAAGGAGCCCAGGCAGAGTGGAGGGTGGCCCTGACTTTTGGTGCTGGCTTGGGTAATTCTAACAGGGGTGCCTTTTCCCTCTGGGAAAGGAAATGTTGCATGGAGCCTTTGGGGGTAGGGGTGGTGGGACGGACTTTGTTTTGGACAAGCTGAGTTATGAGGTGTCTCAAGGACACCCAGATATGAAGATTTTGAAGGGGTGGTTCAAATTATGGCTCTGGAGTTCAGGAGAGAAGAATGGAGTAGAAACAGCTTTGCACACAGCCGGGGCCAGGGCAACGGAGAGCCCTGGGAGGACTCCCCTTGTTCGAATCACTCTTTTCTGGAGCAATGATGAATGCCTACAACTGGGGACAGGTTTGGGGGACGCTGACCATCCCCGGGATGAAGCCCCATCCCGAAGGCTTCAACTCTCCTGAGGCCAACGGTAGACAGGCCAGACCTTTAGGGACACCAACAGTCAAAGCAGTTTCCAGCCTTGCCCAATGGGAAGAATCACGTGGATAACTTGTTCAAATCCAAGCTCCTGGGCCTTCCTGTGACTTACTCGTTCTAAACCTTGAGAGAACAGCCCTGGAGATCGTGACTGTTAACAAGCGTCCTGGAGCTACTGGAAAGCTCTGCTTTAAGCAGACCGGGAGGGAAAAGCAGAGTGCAGGAAAATGAGAGTGCACAGAGCGGCGAGGAACATTCCCGAAAGGAACAGGCAGGGTCAGAGGCTTGGAGCACAGACAGGAAAGGAAGCCAGTGGATTTGGCAATGAGGTCGTCATGGGTGACCTCAGACGGACCTCTTTTGGTAGAGGAATGAGCCAGATGGCCCAGGGTCCAGGGAGAGTGGGCAGAGGATGGATCAAAGACATGTGCCAGGTTGGGAGACAAGAAAATGGGATGCAACAGGAGTGGAAGGACAAGGTTATGAGAAAGACTGCTGACTGCTTTTTGCAGGATGAGAAAGATTCAAGACTTTGCAGGCGAGAGGCAGAGTGTGCAGAACAGGGTGGAGGGGGGCCCCGAGTCACAGGCCACAGCCTTACCAGGTGGCCCACTGCGCGGCCACAGGCTTGTGTGTCTGCAGCGGCAGAACTGGCCATGAGCGTCGGGGCAAGTCGAGCCAAGGCCATTTCACACACAACTCAACAGGTGCAGGGACTGAGAAGCAGCCCGACGTCACAGAGCCGGTAAGCAGCCGGGCCGGGACTGCGTGGGTAGCCTACTGGAGGCCCCTCAAACACACCGCACCCCAAAACCAAGCTTGGACCCTCCCCCCTTCTCTTCCAACCAACCTGACGCCACCAAGAAACCTTGATTCTCCAGCCTTGGAATCTTCTGCCCCAGGCACTCCCCTACTTCATGCCCTGTCCTGTCTCGGGCTGACAGCGACAGTCACCTCCTCTGTCGTCCTGTCGCCTCCGTACACAGACCCCTCTGCTGGCTTCCCCTCCGACTAGAATAAAAACCCTGGAGTAGGGATGCTGTTCTTACAAGGCCCCGCGTGACCTGGCCAGCCCTCCCGCAGCGCCACCAACTTCCTCCTTCCTTCTCTGAATTCTGCTCTTCTTCAAACACACCCAGTCTGCTCTGGCTTGGGCCTGGGGGTCTGCACTTGCTCATCCCTCTGCCTGGGACTCTTCCTCAGGGACCCGGCTGGCCCATTCAGGCCTCTGCTCTAACATCACGTCTCAGAGAGGCCCACAGAGCGCCCTGCCGCTATCACTCCCCAGCTTCTCGTGGGGCCTTATCTCCTCCTCGGGACCTGCGTGACCTCACATCACACCACAGCCTTGTGTAATCTGTCTCTCTCACCAGGAGGAACACTGTGAGAGCCAAGACCTCATTTGTTCTATCACCCCCAGGACCCGAGGGCCTAAAAGCCAGGCAGATATGGGGTGCAGATGTATTAGAGGCCGAGCCCAGCAAGCTGGACACCTTCAGGACTCTCAAGGCCACACCCTGACATTTAACGCTAGCCTTAGTCCTCCTTGGTCCCCCACCCCCAAGCACTTCACAACCTCTGTCTCGACCAAATCATTACTCCCCGAAGCAGCCTCATCCCATTCTGCCTTCCCTCCAGCCAGTGCTCTCCTCTGCCTGACAGGTTCCCCCAAAGGCCAACTCTCTGTGAAAGTCACCAGCCTCCTTGATACCGCAGACCAGGCTCCAGACCGGCCCAGGGTGCACGCCGCCCAGCCTCCATTCCAACTTCAGGGAACACTCCCAGAGGGATGACTGTCTAGGCGTAGTGCTCCCCTGGACATGCATGCTACCATGACAGGGAGGAGGGAACACAGCAGAGGACGAAGGGACAGTATTAAGAACCAAAATGACTTCAAGGTGGGATCTGGTGTTTAATGGAAGGACTTGACGCACCAGCCTTGGCCAGCCAGGGGCACAGCTTCTGGGAGCTGCAATTTCTGACGTGCTCCCCAGCAGACCAGAGTGGCTTCTAGAAGTTAGGTGGGCAGGGGAACAGGGGAAACTGACAGACAAGAGCATGACAGCTGCCACATGGGAAGGCAGGAAAACCAAAGCAAACCAACTTTTCAAGAGAGGCAGAAAATCCCTAAGACGCTGACGGTGAGTTCAAGGTCACTAGCCAGCATGAGAAAACAACCTCCAGTTCACACCTCCTGCCTATCTGTTCTTGACAACGAACTTCTACCTGTTTCTACATTTCCAGCATTCACCAAACACGTCTTAAGCACTCATGGCGTGCTGGCGATCTATGACACAAAGGACCAGGCCTGGTGGTGCCTGTGGGGCCCAGAAACTCCACTCGGACTGTACCTTCGTTGTGCTGGGCCCTCCTCCTTTCATCTCGTGGTGTTCTGGTTCCGTCAATTTTCCTAGAAGAGGAAAAAGATAGGCACAGGTTCTTTCAGGTCCCATTTGTCTACCCATCTATTAAGGAGTCAGACTTAAAAATTATCCCTGCAAAGTAAACTTCAGTGCAAAAAGAGGAAAAATGCTAATTCCCTTACTTACACTCAAGAAGCAAAAACAAATTAGAAAATATACTGACTGATTATTGTGTGCACAACTGTCTGGCTCCCATTCCAGAAAACCTTCCTTTCCTTTGGCCCCCTCACACCGGCCGCTCCTGGGGTCCCCTGCACGTACGGGGAGTAGGGGTGTGTCCGGGGTGCAATCGTCCTCTGCGTTCCCGTCTGAAGCACGTCTTGTGGTGTCATCATGACATAGAACTGGCCTGCGGGGAAAGCGGGGGTTAGTGCGAAAACTGGAGGGGAGGGGCAGTTAGAAACAGCTGGGGGGGGGCTTCCCTCCCTGCTAGCCTGCTGCCTCCCCTGCCTTCCGCCCTGGCCCTTCCTTTACCTCCGGCCTGCAAGCTCTGGTCTGTGGTCTGTACGGACACAGCTGTAGTATCTCCCACACTGGATGCTGGGAAATAGGCAAACCGGGCCTCCCCACTGACAGCCTCAGCTGCCGGGCTGCCGCCATTGCTGAAGGGATTTTGGATTACGGCCTGGGGAGTAGGAGGACACAGAGGCCACCCTTAGCCATCTTTGTTCACCAACCCATCCCCTTCTTGCCATGTTGGACGTTCCCCACGCCCTCAGGACCATGGGAAACCCCTCTGTGTGTGCCACTCTGCCTTGTCTCCTAGCCCGGGAACTGAGCACAGGCCCAGCAATCATTTGACAGCATGATACACTCTCACATCTAGGAACTTCCCTGTTACCATCATCCCCATTTTAAGGAAAGAAAAAATGTATTTCAAAGCTCTTGACCAAGTTTCACCTCGAAGAACCGGCTGACCCACCCTGCCGGATGGTCTAAAGGTAGCATCAGTGTGCCACCTGCCCCACCCTCTGGGGATTCCCAAGAACAGCGTCAGTGTCCCCTCTCCATCCCCCCAGGGCTTGTGGGCACCTACCAGTGGGAAGGGCGCTGCGGGACCTGGGGGCACAGAGGCAGCAGTGGGGCCAGGACGCTGGGATGCCCCATCCACACCCACCTGGGTCACAGCCTGCTGCCCCCCCGCAAAGGCAGCCGTAGACACGACGCTGACGGCGCCAGCCGTGTCTCCCTGGCCATCCAGCTGACCATCAGTCACCTGGACTACGCGGTACGTCACCTGCAGAGGGCGGCAGAGCAGCGAGATCGGCTCTGGGGTCCCGGCCGCAGCCAGGTCTGAGCCCCTCCCAGCTCGCCGGTCGGACCCTCGGCTCAACCCTCCACTTGCCCGCGGGCTCCGGGCCCGCAGCTTCACCTGTCCTCCATTATTCTCTGTGCGGAACTGGTACTGGATGTTGTGGTCGCCAAACGCCGCCTGCTGGACGCTGGCGATGGCCACCGCAGTCTGCTCCTCCGCCCCAGGGCCGTCCCCGCCTGCGGTCGAAGGGGGGGGCATGGTCAGTGGTCACGCGGCCAAGGCGCCCCCAGTCCCCTCCCCGGGCGCAGGCCGCGGCCGCAGCCGCGGCCCCGGTGAGACCCGCGAGCACTCACCTTCCTGCAGCTCGACGCCCTCCTCTGCCTCGGGTCCCTTGTCGTGACTGCGAGGAGCACGGGAAGAAGAGGGGGTCAGGGCCGCCCGCGCCCCCGCCCCTTTGCCCAGGTGCACGGCCCCCGTCCCGTCCGGCCCTGTCTGGAGCTAGGACACCGCTAGGACCGGGGGCCGAGGTTATTAGCGCGGGTCCCCCCTCCCTCGCAGCCTCCATTTTGAGCTGGGCCCAGCGGCCGCTCGGGATCATGGCGGCCCCGGCGCCAGGCCGAAGGGCCCGGGCCAGGCGCGCGGGGGCACGGACCGGTCGGGCACTCTTACCTGGCGGCGGCAGCAGCAGTGGCCGAGGCAGCGGGATCCAGACCCGGGTCCAGCATGTCCATGGGGGGGGGGGGGGGGGGGGGGGGGCGCGGGGCCCGGGGGGGGGGGGAGGGGAGGGGAGGGAGGGGAGGGGGCGGGCGGCCGGGGGGGGCCCCCGAGCCCGGCGCTCACGCCGCGCGGCAGGAGGGGACGGAGGAGACACGGGAGCCGCTCGCGCTGATCACGGGGACAAACAGTGGGGTCATGTGAGGAGGAGATGCCGCCGCCGCCGCCGCCGCCGCCGCTGCTGCTCCTGCAGCCGCCGCCGCCGCCTCCGCCTGCCCGCCCGCCGGCTCCCGGCGGATCTCGGCTCCGGGACGCGGCGCAGCCGCCCCCCGCCCGCTGCACGCGGCCCTCGGGCCTCCTTCCCTGAGCAGCGGCCGCCGCCGCCGCGACTTTTTTTTTAACCCGGCCCGCCCTGGATGGCTGCCGCCTCTCCCCTGGATCGCCGGCTCGCGCGTCCGCCGCCCGGCCTGGCCCAGTCCGGCGGCGGATCGCTGCTGCAGCCGCCGCTGCTTTCTATTTTTTCCCCCTTTTTTTTCCTCCTTTACTTGAGCTGCGCGCGCGCGGCGGCGGCGGCGGCGGCGCGAGCCCGGGGCCGACGCGCGCGGGGGGAGGGCAGCCCCCGGGGAGCGCGCGCGCTGTGTGTCTCCGATGGCGGGCGGGCGCGCGCGGGCCCGGGTCTCGGCGGGGCGCGAGGTCGCCGTTGCTGCCGCCGGCGGGCCGCCCGAGTGGAACGCGGGCCCGGATAGAACGCCGGGGGACCCGGAGGAGGGGCTCTGGTCGCCGGGGACGAGGCAGGCTGCGGGGTTTGGAAACAGTAAAGTAGGTCGGAGTTGGGAGGCGAACCGGGTTGAAGGGGAGAGGAGCGCGCGCGCGCGCTCCCGGCAGCCGGTCGGGGGTGCGCGAAGGCGGAGGTCCGGGGCGCATGCGCACGTCCGGGCGGGGCCGGGGCGCGCACGCAGGGCCGGGCGGAGTCAGCGTGGGGCACGTACTCCTGGCCTGGGGTGGAAGGCAAAGCCGGTGCTTTCCTCCTGGCCCAGGATGCAAGTCCTGGGAGAAAGCTGGACGCGCGGCCTTTTGCAGACTCGCAGGCATGCAACGCGCACACATAGACACACGACACAGCAGCTGCCGGGCTACCCACCTCGCGCAGCAAAAAAAAACACCTCCATCTAGACACAGGCCTTGTGATCGAAAGTTTTATTAGTCTCAAGAGGGCAGATCATGAATAAGTCCCTCAAATTAAAAAAAAAAAAAGTACAAAAGGTACATACAAAACGTGAGATCAGACGATTAAGCTTTCCCGACTCAGGGCCAAGTTCTGCAAGGGAGAAAGAAAATGGGTGTGAGCAGGGGAGGCCTGGAGGAGAGGATCCAGGAAGGGTCTTAAAGCAGGAAGGGTTGTTCTCACCTTTTTAAGCCTCCGTTCCCGTGATGCCTGGGAGTCCGTCTCAGAGTAAGGGGGAGGTGCTGGAGGGTAGTAGGGCTCCTCCTCATTTTCCTCCCTGTAAGGTCTCCTCCTCTCACCTGGCCCCTTTTTCCTCAAGGCCTCTTCCAGTAGCCGCCCATCATACTGGAGGTCCCCAGACCTGGGGCCATCCTCCCGAGGGTCCCGGGACCGGTGGTGGCGGGACCTAGGGTCAGCATGAGGGCGGTCTCTAGATCTGAAGTCATCATAGTGGGGATCCCGGGAGTGTGGAAATTCCCTTGGGTCGTCTTGATCATAGAGGTCATCTCGGCTTCGGCTTCGGGGTGGTCCATAGGCTTGACCTCTCCTCCCTCTACTTGGGGGAGACCTCCTCCCAGATTCAGCAGAGCCGGGTCGGGTGAGGTCATCCAGAGCATCCACAGATCGGGCACGGGGCCGCCCGGCCCCCCAACCACTCCCTGGCCGCTCTACAGGGGGCTCTTGCTCCCACCGTCTGGGACTCCGAGGGGAGTGACGATCCCATTCCTCATCCCGGATTGGGGTAAGAGCAGGGCCTCGGGAAGGCCGGGATCTCCAGTCGTCCTCGTGGAGGGAGGTGACTTCACTCATGGCTGTAGGGAAGGGGGGATATCACTGACTGCTGGGAGGTCCGGAACTCCAGGGCCCAGGAGAGTCACCCTCTTGGCTCATATACTTTCTAGGGGGCCCTGGACTTCTCATCTTTCAAGTGTTGACATGCAGGGTGTTGTACACTTCTCACTGTGGCCATTGTAGGAAAGGAGGTACTATGTCCAGGATTTCCAGCAAGCATACCTGGAGCTGCTCCCTCCTTACTCAGAAACCCCTCAAACCACAAGGCTCCCACTCACCCCGCTCTACATGGCCATTGGTAGCACCGGGTCGAGAAGGGTCAAAGTTGGCCAGCTCTTTCTCCATGTAGTACAGGACCCGCATGGAGTCGTCCTGCTGGCTGGCCTGAATTCTGTAGCCACTGCGGATTTCTAAGGACACAAGATGGAGGTGATCAGTTTAGGAGGAGAGATGCTGACCCAGCCCCCTCCCATAAAGACACATCCAACCTTGTAACAATTGATTCTCACCAGAGGTCACACTGCTGTCTGTGTCACGAAGCAGGGGTACCTGGGAGCTGTGACCGCCAACTAGGGAAATTTGACTGTCAGTGGCCACCTGCATGGAGCAAAGCCCTCCAGACCCAGCCTCCAATCCCCTTTCTTCTGGCTCCAGGCCCCTTAGTGCCCAAATGCCTGGCCTACCCCTGCCCCAGCCCCTTTCCGGCTCCCCGAGGCCTCACCTGAGCTGTTCCTGTCGAAGTCGCCAGGGTACCCATTGTAGATGGGGCCCATGGGAATCATGGCTGGTGGGGGTGGGGTCTTGGCAGGGGAGAGGTGAGCATAGGTGCTGGGGGCGTAGATGCTTGGGACGCCTGAGGTGGCTGCTTTGCCTGCAGCATACACTGGGGAGGACACACAGTATAAGAAAGCAGCTGGGAGCCATGCTACCCTTTGCTCTGTTAGAGTGTCAGGAGGGCCATGTGCCTGCACCTTCCTCCCAACCCCTGAGCCATGGGGCTTCCCTAGGCACTTGGATTGGTTTCTGGAGGGTTACTGAGACTCAGGCCATCGACTTCATTGATTCCACACCTTGTTTGTGTTTCTTCACATAGTTTTTGGGCAGAGGGGGTTGCAAGCAGCCCATGGCCCCATCTGGCTAGCCACTCTGCTTGTTTGACTGTATGATGGTTTGCCCTCGTTTGATGAGGTTTTATCAAAAATTCCAGCTCTCTAGCCACGCCATCAGGAGAGGTGGCCACCCTGGCCCGAGTTCTTACAGAGCAATAGGGAGCAAAGATGCCCCTTTAGAGAAAGCCCATGTGCTGGACCCTCTAACCAGATTCCAGTATTCCCCTTTGGCAGCTGGGCCACCATTCCAGAAAATGCATCATCTGGGCAGGGGGAATTCCATGCCCACTCCCCTCTCATGGCAACTGGGTTCTCCAGGCCCAGATGCAGTGGGACTCATTCTGAGGCAAAAGCGTGGGAGCCTCAGCGTTCACTTCCTGCAGCCAAGCAGCCCAGCAACTCCTCAAAGTACCTCTACTGTTTCCAACCCCGGGCCACACCCACTCCCATCCCGCCCCGCCTGCTAGGCTTGACAGCTCAAGGGCAAATCCTCCTAGCCGTCTTCCTCCCCACAAGAGGCCGGGTTCAGGTGGCTGCTCTCCTGTCAAAGTCACTGGGCCTGATGGAGCAAATCACTTCCTCCCTGGGATCGTGACAGGGAGATGGGAGTCCAGGGAAGCTACTTCCTCTGATTCAATTTGGAAGCAGGAGGAGGCTCAGGGCTCAGCAGCCCCAGGAGGGGCCCCTCAGGAGCTCGGGGGAGCTGGCATTTTATAAGCTGTGGGAGTTGCTGTTCCCAGCTGCCTCGGCAGGGCTGTGGCCCTGGCAAAAGTAACAGGGCCTCTGGCAGGGAGTTAATGGGTCCTCTGAGGTATCAGGGTCTCTGGATGGAAGGAGCATGGTCTTGGGACAGACACTGGACATCCCGGGCCCAGCCTTAATCAGTAGGGTAACTGCAAACTTGGTTGCAGATCCCCCTCCTGGGGTGGGGGTGGGGGTCCCTCCACACCTGTGATTGAGACCAGTGCCCACCACCTGAGGCTGAAGCCCTCAACTAGAAAGGACAGGAGACACAGGAGGGCCAGCATCCGCCTCCAGAGGGCAGTGGATTTTTCCCAGGGCAGCAACACTTGGCGGGACGGGGCTGTCCACTAGGGTGCTCAATGCTCAGGAAATTAGCCAGTATGCATCGAGCGGCGGCCCTGTGCTGGGTGCTCGCACACCGTCCTTTAATGCTCACACCGCCATGTGGGAACCCTATAAAGAAGGAAACCATCTCGGAGAGGGAGCTCTGCTTCTCTGAGGTCACACGGTAGCTGAGGCATGGTTCTGATGTGCTTCCTGGCCCTTGGTCACGACCAGTGCTGACAGTAATGTGGCCAACAGCTCAAGAGTACGGAGCACTCATGCAGGCCAAGCCCCGCACAGAGTGCCGGATGCACGAGGGGAAGTCACTGCCTGGGCTTCCCACGTGGGGAACACACCCAGCCAGGCCTCCAGCCTCCACCTGCCCAAGCCAACGATGGCTGCCTGGGATTTCACCCTGAAAGCCTCTTGGACTGAGCAGAGTTGTGGCCCTGCTCGGGCACTCTGGGAGGAACTGGAAACAAAGCCATCCCTGAGGAGGGGAAGTGGGGGCAGTGGCAAGAGGGAGACCCCGCCTTCTCCTCTGCTTCCCTCTTCCCTGTTCTGTTTGTTCTTTCCCCTTCATCTCCGGTCCCACTTCCACCCCCAGCCCCCAGGGACCTACTCTGATATGCTAGAGATGTCCTTAGACCAGGGTGCTTGTGTGGATGTGGGATTTTAAAATTGTAAAGATTATATTAGTGCTGTAAACCTTGTTTTCTTACCTTTTCCATTTAAGAGTTTATTTTTAAAGGGAGCTTTACTGGGGCGCCTGGGTGGCTCAGTCAGTTAAGCACCTGCCTTCTGCTCAGGTCATGATCCTGGGGTCCTGGGTTGGAGCTCCCCTGGCCTCAGGTTTCCTGCTCAGCAGGGAGTCTGCTTCTCCCTCTCCTTCGGCCCATCCCGCCCCCACTCCTCTCTCTCAAATAAATAAGAAAAAGGAAAAAAAAAGGAGCTGTATGTCCCAGTGAATGATGTTGTATACTATTTGATAATTTCTCACCATGTGCATAAATGATGCTTTCAAAACACCTCAAAATAAGTGAAAGTTTAAAATGAATACAAAGTTGGAAGCATATGTAAATGATCACCTAAGACAGCAGATCCTCCTTGGCCCACTTTCTCCCAGGCTGATCACCCCATACCCTCCAGACTGAAGGCACCGCCCTGGGAAGCCGGTGCATGGCCATCTCCTGCCCCGGAACCCAAGGGGGAGGCGGGCAGGGGTGGGCACGTGAGGGGCACTTACGGGCTTCCGGGCAGCAGCACTTGTCCGGGCAGCAAGGGCATCTGACGTAGCAGCAGCAGGTGTGGGGGCAGCACTGACACCAGCAGATGCCCAGGAGGAGGAAGACGAGGAACACAGCCAAGCAGACCACGACCACGAACAGCCAGTCTGCAGAGAGAGGGGAGAACGGGCCCTGAGCAGGAGGCCTGGGAGGGAACAGGAAACATGTCCCTGTTCATGGGGGACGCAGAGTCAGGGGGAGGGCAAGGTGATACTTGAAGCTTCCTGGGACAGCTGCGACCCCTGCTGGATTCTCCAGCCAAGTGCAGGGGCCGCGGCAGGGGAGAGGCACCCCCCACCCAGACCCAGATCAGCCCAGGAGGGAACCCGCAAGCACGGGGCTCCCCCGGCCGGGCAGAAAACCAGAGGTGACCTGGCCGAAGCAAGAACAGGACGTAACTGACAGGAAGGACAGACAGCCAGCTGCCCGGATCCCACCCTCTAGAAGAGCACCGCAGGCACCAGTCAACAGGAGCCCCCTGTCTACACCCCAGGCCCCTCTGTAGCCAGCCCAGCCCACCCCAAACCCCAGAGCCAGGTCACCAGAGGCCACGGAGTTGGAGTCAGGTGGGGTTAATGGGGTCCACAGAGCGAGCGCAGTTTAGGATGGGGGGGGCTCCACCCCGTACCTTCCATAGGCCCCGCCTGAAAACCAGGTAAGAGCTCTGCCACCCCCGAGGTCCTGCCTGGAGGGACAAAAGAGAGACAGATTATGCCGGCAAGGGCCAGCCCAGCCCGCCCCTACCCTGAAGCCTCGTTCCAGGCCCTTCAGGGTGAAGGTCTGTCCTGAAGCGGTGGGGGGGGGGTGGCCTAGGAGGGTCCTAGCGCATGGTTCCTTCCCCTCCCTGCCCTCGACCATGTAGGTACTGTTTTCCAGAAGGCTTCCAGCCCATAATTCACCCACTCTCTCATGCCATGGGGAATTCTGTCACCCCAAAGTGTTCCAGAACACATCCCGTGGGTTCTGAAGGTTCAACCTCAAGTGTGGGCACCCCATCTTCTCCACATACACGGGTCCTATCACCCCCAAGGGCTCCATCTCCCGCGAGAGGGCTAGTCCTGTTCCATTAGGCAGGGTAGGCAGTGCCTTAGCACCCAAGAAAATGTTTTCGTTTTATTTCAAAATCTGAAGGAGAAAAATAGCAATATCGAATCCATAATAACGAGTGGTCTTGGCAGCAATGCAATGACAAAACATCTGATTTTTTAACACGAGGGAAGAGGCCCATGAAGGCAGAAGTGCTGACAGCCCATACAAGTCACAGTGTGGCCCGGAGTTCCAGCTCATTTCACGCATTCTGTCCCCCGCACAAATTCCGCAGCCCAGCTAGGGCCTCCCCTTAAGTGCCCCCAGTTCTCTGCATCCCACGAGCATTGTATCGCGGGGACACCCGGCTCTATGCCCGCAAAGCTCTCGCCAGCAGGGCTCACCTCTCTGCGCCACCTGCCCCTGGTTCTAGCATGCAAAGCAGGGGCTCCCAAAGCGCCTTCCTGCCCAGGAGGACAAGACCACTTTCAGAGGAACACCAAGTCCCATTTGCCTTTTTCGCGCTGCTTCTCCCATGGGTGTTCCAAAGGCTCTGTGAGGAGGGGGACGAGAGTGGATTGTGTGCTCTAGTGCCTTGTGCTTTAGAAATCGCCTGCTCGGGGTGCCTGGGTGGCTCAGTGGGTTAAAGCCTCTGCCTTCCGCTCAGGTCATGATCCCAGGGTCCTGGGATGGAGCCCCACATCGGGCTCTCTGCTCAGCAGGGAGCCTGCTTCCTCCTCTCTCTCTGCCTACTTCTGATTTCCGTCTGCCAAATAAATAAATAAAATCTTTAAAAAAGAAAAGAGAAGAAATCGCCTGCTCAGGGCGCCTGGGTAGCTCAGTTGGTTAAGCAACTGCCTTTGGCTCAGGTCATGGTCCCGGAGTGCTGGGATCAAGTCCTGCACTGGGCTCCCAGCTCCACGGGGAGTCTGCTCCCTCTGACCTTCTCCTCTCTGAAGCTCTCTCACTGTCTCTCAAATAAATAAAATCTTAAAAAAAAAAACTGCCTGCTCTCCATTTGTAACGTTAAGCAACTATCAACATCCACAAAAATGTATACACAAACTCTCTGAGATCCTCAAGAATTTTTTACAGTGTTAAGCAGGTCCTGATGCTGCGTTTTGGGAACTGCGGATGTAGGCTGTGCGTGTGGCCACACGAGTCCTCCAGGGCCCTGCCACTTGCGTTCTGTCACCCACACACGAGCTCTGTCGTGATCAGAACACCCTGGTGCACGCCCCCCACCGTCATGTGTGCTCATTCACACATGGGTTTCCTTGCATCATGCATGTGATGATGGCAACATCCAGCCCAGCAGCACCCACACAGCACGCGTCGCCCAAGACCATATGTGTTGGCTGAGAACAGAGCATCTGGCTAATGGCAGCATCCCAGCCACACGGGGCAGCGGGGCTCAAGGCCAGACGGGGCGGAGCTGCTGGTGGGTATCCCACCCTGCCCTTGAGCACGTGGCAGTGGCCTCACCATGTCAGCCACACAATGCCAGCCCTTCGGGGCAGAGGGTGAGGTTCCTGAGTTTGGCCAGGGACGTGGGTGAGCTGCGGCCCCCAGGATGGGGCAGGGAGCAGGTTCAGCCTCCCCTCAGTGAGACCCACCATCTTCCCTCCCCACTCACTGCCAATTACCTCTGAAAACTTGGGGATTTTTATTAAAAAAGGAGCCTGGGGAGAGGGAGAGTCTCCCAATTCTCTCCACTCTCAGCTTGGCTCTGGCTTATTTGACATGTTGGAGGGAAGGCTCCCTGCCTGGGGTGCAGGGCAGAGAAGCCCCAGTGACTGGTGGTGCCGTGAGAGGAGAGCGAAGCAGGCGACAGAGTGCAGAGAGTGAGCAGAAAGGCAGAGGGAAGACGTACAGAGGTGCCTGAAGAAGGGCCCTGATCCCATCGCCAACCCCTTCCCAGGCCCTTGCGGCCCAACCCACTCACCCAAGACGATGAGCTCTGCATAGGCTTCATTGTTCCCCTGGAGGTCCTGGGCCGAGACCACGGAGCAGTAATACACACCACTGTCCCCCCAACCTGTCTGGTCAAAGGTCAGGTCAGCATCTGCAACAGGAGAGGGGTGAGGACACCTCGGGGGAGAGGACTGGAGCCTCCCCACGAGCACATCAGAAGGAACGGGGCAGGAGAGTGAGGCTGCAGATGGACAGAGGGAGCATTCAATGATCTGTACCAAGGGCGGGCTACTTTTTAGGCTCGGTTGTAAACACTTACTTAACACAGGGTGTTTCAGCAAGTCTGTGAGGTGAGTCCTGTTACCTTTCCTGTCTTGTAGATAAGAAAAGAGGTCTGGCAAGATGACCTAATCCGCCCCAGCAGAGAATCCTGAATGGGGCTGATCTAGAGCCTGGGTGGCAGAACTAGAGCCATCGTCGTACCCCTTCTCGCAGCAAAGCTAACTCCCCCAACACGAACCACCCCAGAGACCGGTGTAGCCCCCAGGGCAAGGGGCCTGTGGTGAGGCAGACATAAACAGGCCAGATTCTGGAACCAGGTGCTGCCCAGGCATGGGAAAGAGTGGCTGTGAGAGGGAGCCTAGGGCCGCCCCAGCTCCCGAGTCATCGGCCCCACATTCTAGGTCAGGCGCAGGGCTTGGGACGCTCAGGCAGGTGAGGAGCCTATCAATTAGGGCAGTAATGAAAGTCAGCACATCCGGTTTCCTCTCTGCTCCTCAGGCCCTTATTAGTTAAATCCCTCTGGCCATCCACTCATGTGGGAGCAGGCGGGACTACGGGCAACTGCAGACGGGAACAGGCCCAGGTGAGCACCCCCAGAGCTCCCCAGTGGCTCTTGCTCCCTGACTCCGGCTGACCTGCCTCCCTCCCAGCCCCTCGCACCCACCGCCCTTCCCCACGGGGCTTGGAGGTCAGGAACTGGGTGCGCCTCTATCTGCACGGCGCCGCACCCACCAGGGCACCAGTCCGTTGCTGAGGGAATGAAAGAACGGGAGGGAGCCTTCTTCCTTCTTCGAAAGACCTCAGAAAAAACCTATAGAAAAAACCTCTTGGGGCACCTGGGTGGGTCAGTCAGTTAAGCATCGGACTCTTGATTTCGATTCAGGTTATGATCTCAGGGTCCTGAGATCAAGACCCAGTCAGGCTGCACGCTCAGCAGGGAGTCTGCTTGAGATGCGTGTGCGCCCCCGCTCTCTTTCTCTCTCTCTTGCTATGCCCCTCCCCCACACTCACAGTCTTTTTCTAAAAGAAAGGAAAAAGAAAAACCCTCTGCCAATGTCTTCCTCCACCATTCCAAGCATGTAACCCCAGCCGGCAAGGCCCATGGCAAGATCTGGCTACTGGTTACCACACCGGCCTCAACCCTGTTCTTCTCCTTTGCTCACCAGACTCCAGACACACCAGCCTCCTCACTGTCCCCCAAGATGCTGGGCCCACACCTGCCAGGGCTCGTGCTACTCCCTCTGGCCGGCACTGGTTCCCAGATGCTCACAGGCCTGGTTCCATCCTACAAGCATAGCCCCCACCCGACTGCTGAACTGGGTCCACCGGCAGAGGGGCTGACCTCCCACCTGGGAGAATGCGGGCCCCACGCAAGCAGAATCTGGTCTCTCTTGGCCAGTGCCGAGACCCCCGTGCTTGACACGGACACCTTGGCCAGGACCTGGAAGTAGACCCCTTCCCTCTTCATGCTCCCCTTCCTTCGCTCTTGCCACCTGTTCCAGCATTCTGGACACATACGTGGCTATATTCAAACAGGCACCTGATACACTCATTCAATATTCAATGTGTAATTCCCAAATGCAGCCTAGGTTCCCGGCAGTATCTGAGGCATCTGGTGGTGTACTAAAGAACAACGGTTCTCGAAGTCTGATCTATGGCCCCCGGGGTCCCCCCAGATCTTTTCAGAGCATCCTTGAGGTCAAAGTTATTATCATAGTAATACTAAGATGTAATCTGCCTTTTTCATGGACACTCTCACGAGTGGGCCCTGAAGTCTTTCAGAGCCTAGTGTGTGCTGTCACCATGAGCTGAATGCAGGGGCAGCTTCGAGAATCCACCTTTTCCTATTCAGGCAGATTTGAAGGAGACGTGCAGAAACATAGAGCTGAGGCAATGCCATACTTTTCATTGAGGTCTTTTGCTGTGTTCTGGAAAACAGGGTTATCTTTTTCATAAAAAGCATGTAATTTATGTCAACCTATAATGAGTTTGTTATCGTCATGTTGAATATTTTTCAAACTTCCCTCAGTTCGCTAGTCATAAAAACAAGGTTCTTGGAAGAATTTAAGAGAGAGAGAGAAAAAAAAAAGAGTAGAGATCCCCCTCCCCATGCCCCCAGGACTTTTGAGAAGCTGACATAAATCCCTGTTCTTACGGAGCTCAGATCCTAACTGGGAGAGAAAGTCAAATAAAAAATGTCAACAGATCACATATCACATGGTGATAAGCAGTATGGAGAAAACCGATCAGGGAAGGCAGAGAGAAAGTCCCAGAGCGGAGCGGGGAGTTGTACAAATTTCAGGGGGGACTGGGAGAAACCTTCGTGGTAAGGTGACCTTCCGAGGAGCCATGAAGGGGCGGAGGACGTGACTCCCCTCTGCGTCACGCATCCAGCCACTGAGTACTGAGCTGTCCCTGCGCCAGGTCCCCCACCCATGCACTCCTTCATCGAACCCTCATACAACATAGAACCACATGCTCCCCAATCTTTCTGCTTCTCTGTAACACCCCGCTGGCCCATTGATTTTCCACCTATATCCTTAAGTCAGACTCCAACCACATCTCTCCCCAGAGCTCAGGGGCAGGTCCCTGTGCAGTGCTGAGGACTTTGATGGGAACCCCCTGCTCCTACAAAAGTTCTGAGGCCGGGAGTTGAAATCTGGGCTCCGGGACTCTGTGTGTTTTGTTTGGCCTGCATAATGTTTGCAAAACCCACACAAAATATGGCCTTCCAGCTTCTTTTGATCAATTCTAAGGCCCGGGCCACCTCCTTCCTGCAAGGCACACCCTGTTCCTGGCCTATGTCTGGTCCTGACATCACTTGGGCTGGGCATTGCCCTCATTGTTTCAGGTGCCAGGAGAAGATGCCGGGTCTTCCGCAGAGAACAGGAGCCAGGCCTTCTTCACAGCCCTGGGTCTCTGCTTCCTTATCTGCATAGAGCAGAGGCAGCCCTCACCTCAGGGGTCCCAGGAGACCCCAGCAGCCTGGCAAGGCAGAAGCATCCCAGTACTCCGCATCACCCAGAGCAGGGACGAATGGACACTGAGCGTTGGCACCATTACAATTTGCCTAGGACAGCTTTCAGTTAAAACCTGGACAGATGGTGACCCAGGAATACTAGAAGGAGGTCTACTTTTCTCCATCCTCAAAGCTGAAATGCAGGAAGCTCTCTTGGCTCCCAGGCTTCCTGACAGGACGTACACACAATTGATATTTACAAATTATGGCCTGTATCAAACACAAGAGCACTTCAAGGCAGCTTGATCACCAAAAGCTGGGGGCCTCTGGAACACGGAGAGTCTACTGCCAGGAGAGCCTGAGGGTCACTCTGGAATTGTAGACTCAGCAGAGGAGGCATGATTTCAGCCAGCCTTCAAGGGCACTCTCGGTTTTTCAGGTTGTCCTGACCGGGCTGCTGGGCCGTCATGCCTGTCCAGGCCCTAGAGGTCACAGGGCTCTAGGAGAGGGGCCTGTACAGGTTGAACCCCCAAGAAGCTCTCTGACCACCGAACAGCAAGATGCTTTGGGCTGAACTGCTCAGGAAAATTAGGGGCAAACAGGTCCAGTCCCTCCCCCAAACACGACTAAAAGGCTGGGTCCCTGGAAGCCTGTCTTTCGTCCACTGTCTTTAGATGGAGTGAGGGAGTGTGCTCCAAGGCCTGCCTGGTCCCTTGGGGTCTGCAAAGGGCCGCTCCCTTCCCCGCTCTGTCCCCATCCCCAAGATTAATACTCTAATCCCAGTGAAAGGCTAAATCCATTAAGGGGGTTGAGGGTTCATCACTCGCCCACTGCCGCCCATCACCTTCCTCAAGATTCTTTAGAGCCTGGTCCTTCTAAAATCACATTCACGAAAGATCTGGAAGTGTGCACCTCAGAGTCATTATTCCACACAGCACCTGGTCCTAGCTGGCTTCCTTGGTAGCCCTCAGTCCTCCCTGAAACTCTCTCTTTATCTGCCTCTTTACAGCCTGCCTCACTAGAATGTCACCTTCTTGGAGGCAGGGACGTTCGCTGTCTTGATCACCACATACATCCCCAGCACCAAAGCTCCTGACACTTAGGAGATGCTGGATAAATACCAGAAGAATGAATGAACGACTCCCCACTCCCCCCTTTGTCCCAATAGGCACTTAGTAACTCTCAGAGTTACAGCTAAGTACATGGCTTCTGAGGTCCGCCTGGGTTCAAATCCCAGCTCCAGCCCCCTCCTGCCTGTGTGCCTAGACAGCCACTTAACTTAGAATCCCTAGCTCTGTTCCTAGCTTTGCGACCCCGCACAAGTCGCTTTACCTCTCTGGACCTCTATAAAATGACCATAGAATCTACTCACACAATTACTGTGTGGTCTAACCTGGATGAGAGCCTGGCCCATAGGAGGCCCTTTTTAAGTTGTTCCTTACATGAATTTTACTTCTTGGTGCTTGTATTCCTATTATTAGAGAACCCCTCCTTCTCTTCATTACCCAATTTTATGTTCCAAGCACTTGACAGCGTGTGTTATCTTGTTCGCCTCCCTGCCTGGAATGCAAGCTCCAGGAGGGAGGGGATTTGATGAATGCATCTACTGCTCTATTTCCAGCTTCAAAGAGCACCTGCCTATCTTAGGTGCTCAATAAATCTTTGCTGTTCAATAAAGCACAGATGCATGAATGGATGGATATAAGGAAGGATCCCTCCCTTCATCAATCCTTTCAGGCACTGGTGCTCAAGGGCTGCCCGGTGGGGACACCAGGCAAGGGCACAAGGGAGCCAGCACCACCCCCCCAGCAAGCCCCGCCCCTCCCGACCCCCTGCCCAACATACTTCCTGTGATGGTGATCCTCCGGCCCTGGTAGTAGTCTCCCAGGGTCACGGCATTGCCCTGCTTGGTGGCCACGACCCTGACAGTGCGCACGCTGTCCTGGCACTCCACATAGGGGTTGTAGCCTGGGTTACCCGCTGCCAGCTGGGCACTGAGCTGGTTGTCAGCACTGGCCGGGGAGAAGGCATCGGCGATGCGGTCCCGGCAGAAAGACTTGTACTTCCAGATGACTATGGGCGCCGCAGGGGTCGTGGTCATTTGGTAGGTGCAGGGCAGGGTCACGGGCTGGAATAGGATCACCACGTGGTAGGGGTCTGACACCGTCACCTGGATGGCGCTGGCTGGGGCTGAGGGCGAGAAGAGAGTTACCAGGGCCTCTGTGAGCTGAAGCAGGAATGAGTGTCGCCTGCATGACATTTACAAGTGTAATGGCTTTAGAGTGCCTAGCACACATTGTTTCTTAATCCCTGGAACCGGAGAGGTAAACTCCGATAATCGTGCCCGTTTTCTAGACCCATGGGGCTAAAGTGGCAAGTACAAGGTCACACAGCCAGATTTCTTGGAACATCCCGTCCATCCTTCTTCCCAGAGTGTGGCCTCTGAACCCAGCTCCCTCTTCCCTTAGCCATTCTTTCATGGAAAGGACCTCCCTCTGTGGCCTGTACAGGAAGGCACAAATGACCACCACAAAGCTGCCCACACTCAAGGCCCAATCGCAAAAACAACCAGTACAGGTCCCAAGTTATGCGGGGCTTTGTGGATGGGGTGCGGTGGTGGGCGCGGAATTGTGGAATTGTTTCACTGAACTGTTTTGCCATGGAGTAGGTAAAGCTCCCATAATGCTCCAGCAGCGTCCCACCTCATCCTCCCCAAAGCCATCTCAAAGGAACACAACAAAAGTGCTTGGGGAGAGATAAAGTCCCCTCCACACCCCCATCCAAACAAACAAACACCCGAGCCAGGTGAAAGCTTGCCAACAGGATGGTTTCACACCAAGTCCATCTCACCAGACCCTTAAGCAGATACTTCGGGACATGGGTGGGGCTGGGTGCTGGGGACTCCCCAGTTCTACACCCACCTGAGGCCTGGGCATGGTTTCTTGAACTCTCGCTCCAGGAAACATCTAATCCAGCCCTCAAGTACCCGCTCCCCGCTACCCCAAGACTTAGAAATCTTGGGGTGCGCCCAAGTCCCTATCCCGGCCTTGCCCAGTGATCGGGTGGTCCTTCACCCCTACACCACAAAGGGTCCTATTCTCCTTGCCGCTCCAGGGTTCGCGGTCCAGGGAGTTTCACTTCCTGCTATCTCTGAACAAGGGCGGGGGAGCGCTCCCTGACTCCAATGGGGACTTTCCCTCCCTCTGGCACCCAAGTGATTTCCCGAGACCCTGGGGATCAGAAAATCCTAATCTCGGCTCTCCCCCTGCCCCAGCTCTTTAGCCAGCTCGGCGGTGTAGAACTCCATCCACCCCCCTTCTATAGTGCCATCCCGCCGTTCCGCCGCACCAGAGGCCCCGCTCTCCGTACCTGTGCACAAGGTGGTGAGAAAAAGCCACACGAAAAAGGCCGCGCCCCAGCCCTGAAAGGCCGGGTTGGGGCCCATCCACCTAGAAAGCCCGCGGGCCACCGGCGCCATCGCCGCCGTCTGGGCGCGTCCAGCCCGCGCGTCCCCTACTTGGTACCGAGAGGGTAGGGGGCGCGGCGCGCACCAAGGCTGGGAGGGGTGCGTGCTCCTCCCCTTCCCGCTTCCGTTCCTTGTCCCTATTCCAAGACCACTCTGCCCTGTTCCAGGACTTTAATGAGAGGAAATAACGTGGATGAGGAGCACCCTTCCAGCTTTCGGGGAGAAACTTGCCTGACCCACTCTGGCTCTCCGAGCCATTCCACCCCCTGCGCACTCTTGGGAATGGATCGACCCAGGTACACTGGTGAGAGCAGAGGGTTGGGCCAGGGGGTGGGCGGCGGGAGGGGCTCCTCCACCTCCCTCCCCGGAAGTGGGCTGACCCAGGTGCGCTCCGGCCCCAAGGGTCGGAACCAAGTGACCAGCAGGCCGGGAGGGCGCGTGCAGACTGGGTATCCTGTCCCGCCCTCTCCTTCCCCGGGTGAGCCGAGCAGAGTGTAACTCACGGGAACCGAGGCCCAACTGGGGTGATTCACCTGTTGAGGGGGGTGGGTCTCTCCTTGCACCTGTCTCCGCTCTGCCCACACCCCTCTCCCCGGCTGGCGATGGACCCGCCTAGGTACACCCTGCGGGGAGGGGCGAGTCTAAGCGAGCTTTGGGGTGGGAGAGGCTCCCGTCCGGGGGGGGCGCCGAGTTGCTACGGGCCTCTGGTGCCTTCCACTTAAATGACTTGCAAGAACCGACTGAAGTTTCCGGAAAGGAAGCTCTGCCCTCTTAGGGACGCCGAGGGGAATCAGGCCCAGGAAAAGTTGAAATTCTCTTTCGGATGTTTTCCCCGCCTTCCCCCGCCCCTTCTCTAGTCGCGGTTCAGCCCCCGGGCATCCCTCGCTCTGGGCGCTTTGGTTCTTAAAGGGGCCGAGTGGAGGCGCGTAAGTAGGGATAGGTTTCCTCATAAGGATTGCCGGGGCCTGGGCCACCTGCGCCCTAGGGCGGGGCATGTTGAGGCGCCGGAGCGCGGGGCGTTCAGCGGGGCTCTTCTGCCCCCCGAAGGCGGCGAGGGGAAGTGCCTCCTGGGAAGCCCTAGACGCCTTTTCTGAGAGACTCACCGGAGGTCGCGAACTGGCCACTGGTGGCGGGTGCAGTGCTCAGGGATGCTTTGTTCGGCTGCATCCTGTTAGAATTCAGGTCAGATCACGTACATCTGCTCCAAACCTTCCTGCGGCGGCTCCCTTTCCCAGAAGAAGCCAAACTACAGTGGCCTGAGCCCTCCCTCACCGCCCCTCCTTTCCCTCTCCCCCGGCTCACTCAACTTCAGCCACACTGGTGCCCCCCCACCCCACCAACTCCCGCCCGGTTCTGGAATGTCTGTTCCCCTTACTACTCCCTCTGCCCGCACATCCTTCCTGCAAGTGGCCATATGACCTTCCATCTCCTTTAGGGATTTATCTAAAGGTCATTTCTTGTAAAATGTCAACTCTTAGACGTCCCTCCCTCACCTCTTTGTGTGTGTGTGTGTGTGTGTGTGTGTGTGTGTGTGTGTGGTAAAAAACACATACCATCATACTTACCATTTAGCCACTTGTGAGTGCACAATTCAGTGGCCTTTTTTTTTTTTTTTTAAGTCTATACATCAGCCCTAATCTTCCTTCAGCTGGCTAGTAGAGACTTTTTTTTTTAAGATTTTATTTTATTTTATTTGACAGATAGAGATCACAAGTAGGCAGAGAGGCAGGCAGAGAGAGAGAGAGGAGGAAGCAAGCTCCCTGCTGAGCAGAGAGCCCGATGAAGGGCTCGATCCCAGGACCCTGGGATCATGACCTGAGCCGAAGGCAGAGGCCTTAATCCACTGAGCCACCCAGGCGCCCCTTCAGTGGCATTTTTAATTACATTCACAGCCTTACCTAATCCTCCCCTACATGAATTCTATCAATTTAACAATAACTCCCCATTTCTACCTGCACCAGCCCTTGATAACCTCCTTTCTACTTTCTTTACCAAGTTGCCTAATCTGAGTACCTCATATAAGTGGAAAGATGTAACATTTGTTATGTCTGGCTGTAGAGAGCAAAATGGAGTCTCTCAGGTCAAGCAGAAGCCTGTGTCAAGTGAGGACTCAAACAGGGAAGGTACCACAGCTAGGGGATACTCCTGGGACCAATGTCACCTGACACACCAGAACTGATAAGGAACAGAACCAGAGAAGGTCTTCAAAGACCCAAAACTGATTCAATCCCTTTGAAAAGGGAAGGATTTTGGCCAGTAAACTCTGACTCTTCAGACCTGACCCCTTTATATCTGACCACTTAAAAAAGGCAGCTGCTCCCCAAAGGCTCTGCCCGATTGATCTCCGAACAGAACCGAGATCCTTCCCTGCTTGACCATCAGAAGCTGTGAGTGCAGAGAGCTGACCTGACCAGAATAAGACCCTTATCTCCACTATTTGTTGTGTGGCTTGTCTTCGGTCCTGCTTTGTGCGCTGCGTAAGAAGCCAAGTTCAATCCCATGCTGAGTTGTCATTGGGTTTGGAATCCTGAACCCGCTTCAGAGTTGTGGTTTAACTTTGCTTTATGATTGAACAGAGCTGACCTTGTGGAAAGACACAATCGCGTGTGCGCCTTCATAGTGTGCTCATGACCCTGGCTCATTCGTGTAGTGTTTTCAAGGTTCGTGCATGTTTTAGGATATATCACAATGGAAGTTTCCTCCCATTTTATGGCTGAATAGTATTTCATTGTATGTATATGCCACATTTTGTGTATCTGTTTATCTATTTTTAGACACTTGTGTTGTTTCCACCTTTTGGTTGTGGTTGTGTTAAAGATTGTATTTATTTGAGAAAGCGTGCGAGAGAGTGCGTGCACGTGAGAGAGAGCACAAGCCTGGGAGAGGGGCAGAGGGAGAGGGAGAAGTAGGCTCCCTGCTGAGCAGGGAGCCCTACATGAGACTCAAGTTTATTAACTTTACCTATCTCCAATTTGGATGAATGGATCCTCTTCTTTTTCTTTCTTTTTTTTTTTTTTTTTAAGATTTTATTTATTTATTCGACAGAGAGAGAGATCACAAGTAGGCAGAGAGGCAGGCAGAGAGAGAGGGAGAAGCAGGCTCCCTGCTGAGCAGAGAGCCCGATGTGGGGCTCGATCCCAGGACCCTGAGACCATGACCTGAGCCTAAGGCAGAGGCTTAACCCACTGAGCCACCCAGGTGCCCCTCCTCTTCTTTTTCTTGTCTGATTGCTGTGCTAGGATTTCTAATACAGTGTTGAAAAGCAACAGTGAAAGTAGGCATCCTCCTGACCTTAGAGGGAAAGTATTCAATCTTTCCCCACTGAGTGTGATGTTAGCTGTGGATTTTCCATAATACCCTTTATCAGGTTGAGAATTTTCCCTCTATTCTTGGTTTTCACAGAGTTTTTGTTAGTAAAGGATGTTGGATTTTGTCAAATGTCTTTTCACCATCAATTGAGATAATTGTGATTCTTTTCCTTTCATTCTTTTTAAAAAATTTTTTAAAAATTTAAAAAAATTTTAAAAAGATTTTATTTGTTTATTTGAGAGAGAGAGAGAGAGAGAGAGCATGAGTGTGGGGTTGGGGGAGTTAGAAATGCAGAAGCAGGCTCCCCTCCAAGCAGGGAGCCCGACCTGAGGCTCTATCCCAGGCCCTGAGATCTGAGCCGAAGGCAGATGCTTAACCGACTGAGCCACCCAGACGCCCCTCTTTTCCTTATTCTATTAATGTGATGTATTACTTTGATTAGTTTTCTTATGTTGAACCACCCTTATATTCTTGGATAAATTCCACTTGGTCATGGTGAGTAGTCTTTTTTTTTTTTTTTTTTTTTTAAAAAAAATTTTTTTTTTTTTTTTAGAGAAGAGAGAGACAGTGAGAGAGAGCATGAGCGAGGAGAAGGTCAGAGGGAGAAGCAGACTCCCCGTGGAGCTGGGAGCCTGATGCGGGACTTGATCCCGAGACTCCAGGATCATGACCTGAGCTGAAGGCAGTCGCTTAACCAACTGAGCCACCCAGGCGCCCGTGAGTAGTCTTTTAATATGCTGTTGGATTTGCGTTGCTAATATTTTGTTGTGATTTTTGCGTCTATATTCATGAGGAACTTTGGTCTGTAATTTTCTTTTCTTCTGATGTCTTTATCTGGCTTTGGTATCAGGATAGTGTGGGCTACATAGAATGAGTTAGGAAGTGTTTCCCCCTCTTCAGTTTTTTGGAAGAATTTGAGAAGGATTGATATTAACTCTTCTTTAAATATTTGGTTAATCTGTGACGTCATCTGTTCCTGGGCTTTTCTTTGCTGGGAGGTTTTAATTACTGCTTCAGTCTCTTTCTTGTTATAGATCTATTGAGATTTTCATTTTTTTTTTTTTTTGAGTTGGCTTAGGTAAAGTGTATGTTTCAAGGAATATGCCCATTTCTTCTAGGTTATCTAATTTCTTGGCATCTCATTGTTTCTAGTAGTCTCTTGTAATCCTTTTTATTCTGTAGAGTCAATAGAAATGTCCCTGCTTTCGTTTCTGATTTTAGTTATTTGTGTCTTCTTTCTTTTGTTCTTTGTCATTCTAGCCAAAGGTTTGTCAATTTTGTTGATATTTTTAAAAAAAACACCTTATGATTTTGTTATTTTTCTTTTTTTCCCTATTCTCTATTTTATTTGTCTCTGGTCTACTCTTCATTATGTCCTTCCTTCTGCTAGTTGTGAGTTCAGTTTTGTCTTCTTTTTCTAGTTCCTTAAGGTATAATGTCAGGTAACTAATTTAAGATTTTTTGTAAAATACAGGCATTAAAAGCTATAAATTTCTCTCTGCTGCATCCCACAAGTTTTGGTATATTGCATTTTCATTTATCTCTAAGTATTTTCTAATTCTCCTTGTGACTTTTTGACTCATTGTTTAAGAGTGTTTAATTTCCACAGTTGTAAATTTTCTGTTTCTTCTGTTATTGATTTCTTATGTAATCGCACTGTGATCAGAGGAGACAGTTTGATTCATATCTATTTTTTTAAATCTACTGAGACTAGTTGATGGCCCAACACATGGTATATTCTGGAAAATGTCTCATGTGCACTTGTATTTTCTTGTTGGGTAGAGTGTTTTGTATATGTCTATCTGGGCTGGTTGCTTTATTGTATTGTTCAAGTCTTTCATTTC